CAGTGAGGCTGCTTGTGCGACTTTTTTGAATTGTCTCTTTGTTGTTGGGTTTTGCTCACCACCGAGGATCTAAACATGCGAGTCATCACATCTCAGCTCGTGCTCAGGTCGTGCTTTGATGGATGGTCCCAGCTTTCTCTCAATTATCTAAGTCACGCGAGTGTCCTCCACGCGCCCTGCGCTGCGTGTCACGCCTCCTGCCTGTTTGGTGGGTGAGGAGTGGAGCTGGGAGAGAGCTGATGTTTAGGAGGTTGGTGACTCGGCGGTTCCCAGCCTCGGCCCTCGTTTCTGTACCAACAGCCTGTGTGGTCAGGATAGATCAGCGAACGGATCGGCCTGGCTTCTGTCTTAGTGCTTGTTCTGTGATTGCTGCCTGTACGTAGCCACGTAAGAGATGCCAAGTTGAGTTTTGTCGGTACAGTGGGGCCTTGACTTACGAGTGTCCCGACTAACGAGTTTTTCGAGATACGAGCCGTCTCTCGGCCGATTTTTTGCTTTGAGGTGCGAGCTAAAATTCGGGTTACGAGCCAGCTTCAGATACCCCACTGCTAGTTGGCGCAGCGAACGTCACAGTGAACGCCACAACATCAGCCCAGCATCACGTGTCTCACTCGTTCACAATTGATTTGACATACGAGTAATTTGAGTTACGAGCTCCATCACGGAACGAATTAAACTCGTAAGTCAAGGCCCCACTGTATTTGTTTTTGTAATAATACATTTGCAAAGAGATCTCTGTGGTTCTCTAAGTGTTAACTCATAATCTAATTAACAGGCTATAGTAGCATTAAATATTCTTTTAGTATTTTTTCAGAAAAAATCTCCGGAAAATGTTATAATGCCACTCCATTCACTTAGAGTTAGGGTGTAATGACCCTATTTCAGTTTTTCTTTCCTTTCATCTTTATTTTCTAACTTTTGTTGCGTTTAAACTTTCTCTGCAAATAGTAAATTCCTTGTTAAAAATTCGGCCTCATCATTGGCAACGCCTTTAAAGTAGAAGCATGAACATGAGGCGGGAAGTCTCTTGAGACTCAGCCAGACAGTGTTCTGGTTTTGGAATCTGTCTGGCGACTGGCTTTACAACGACCCCCCTTTTGAGCCAGGACAGGTAAGCATTGTGTTTAAACTCCGCAGGTGATGCTGCCGGACGGGTACCCAGGCACAGCGCCCCCCGTGTACCAGCTGAAGTAAGCTGTTTCTGTTTCTGGCTTTCAATTGTATCGTTTTTGCTTTAACGTCTCGGATGTCAGCATAGTTTTATTTTACTTTAAACCATTGCTTTGTTTGTTAGTTTATTTGTTCCTTAGGTTCCACCTGTAAGTACAGTCAGGTGGGGCCTGTCTTTCTCAGACTGTTTTATTCACTTAGTGTCATGCTCTCCAGTCCCTCCAAGGTCAGACGGCCTTTTGCAGCTGAGTCGTATTCCGTCCTGTAAATGTAGCTCTGTTTTCTACATTAAACTTTTACAAAAATCATCCTTTCCAAGGATTGTGTGTACGAAGTATCTTATCAGAATGTATATAGAAATTAATGCCTTTTGGGCTTGGCATAGAGCATTTAAATAAATTTAATGACAGAAGAATATGGTGACGTATGTCACTTACTGTTCTCCTAGAGACAGGGCAGGACCTTTAGACAAACTGGTATCTTGAAACCCCAACTGCAGAGCTCCTCCGGCCAGGCTCCGCCCCAGGTCCAGCCGCAGGTCCTTGGCCTGCCTTGGCCTAGCTTGCCTCCCGGGATTACCCTAATGCCTCCAGGAATTACCCTAATGCCTCCCGGAATTACCCCTAATGCCTCCAGGGATTACCCCTAATGCCTCCAGGGATTACTCCTAATGCCTCCAGGAATTACCCCTAATGCCTCCAGGGATTACTCCTAATGCCTCCAGGAATTACCCCTAATGCCTCCAGGGATTACTCCTAATGCCTCCAGGAATTACCCCTAATGCCTCCAGGGATTACTCCTAATGCCTCCAGGAATTACCCCTAATGCCTCCAGGGATTACTCCTAATGCCTCCAGGAATTACCCCTAATGCCTCCAGGGATTACTCCTAATGCCTCCAGGAATTACCCCTAATGCCTCCAGGGATTACTCCTAATGCCTCCAGGAATTACCCCTAATGCCTCCAGGGATTACTCCTAATGCCTCCAGGAATTACCCCTAATGCCTCCAGGGATTACTCCTAATGCCTCCAGGGATTACCCCTAATGCCTCCTGCAATTACCCCTAATGCTTCCAGGGATTACCCGTAATGCCTCCTGGAATTACCCCTAATGCCTCCAGGGATTACCCCTAATGCCTCCAGGAATTACCCCTAATGCCTCCAGGGATTACTCCTAATGCCTCCAGGAATTACCCCTAATGCCTCCAGGGATTACTCCTAATGCCTCCAGGAATTACCCCTAATGCCTCCAGGGATTACTCCTAATGCCTCCAGGAATTACCCCTAATGCCTCCAGGGATTACTCCTAATGCCTCCAGGAATTACCCCTAATGCCTCCAGGGATTACTCCTAATGCCTCCAGGAATTACCCCTAATGCCTCCAGGGATTACTCCTAATGCCTCCAGGAATTACCCCTAATGCCTCCAGGGATTACTCCTAATGCCTCCAGGAATTACCCCTAATGCCTCCAGGGATTACTCCTAATGCCTCCAGGAATTACCCCTAATGCCTCCAGGGATTACTCCTAATGCCTCCAGTGGATTCCTCCAGGAATTACCCCTTATGCCCACAGGAATTACCCGGATTCCTCCAGGAATTACCCTCTGGGCCGGGGCTCCTCCCCACCCTGTGTTGTTGAGGAACCGACCTCCTCCGGGTGGCCAGAGCGTAATCGGAGCTCTGTGAGCTGTGACGTGCGTCACCTTGGCCTGACCTTGCCCCCGACCTTCTCGGAAGTTGAAACCCTGGGAACAGAATGGAATTGAACCTCGAGGACTCAGTTGTTTTTGTTAATCCTCACCTGAGGATGTTTTCCATTGATTTTAGGGCGAGTGGAAGAGAGAGAGAAATGCAGAGAGAAATGTCGATGTGAGAGACACATCGATGGGTTGCCTCCTGCATGTGCCCTGACCAGGGCCCAGGCGGGGAGGAGCCTGCATCCGAGGTCCGTGCCCTTGACCGGAATTGAATGTGGGACCCTCCGGTCCGCAGGCCGATGCTCTATCCACTGAACCACACCTGCTAGGGCCGATGACTACATTTTTACCTACCGGGGGATTGCGTTTCGTATGAGTGTTTTGAAACCATAGCTCTAACATTTGCTGTTAATAATGGGCCTGTGCTGTTAAGCTTCTTTATTAAAAACGATAGATATAAGTATAGAATACTAGTAAACACACGTGCCCTTTTCAGAAAATGTTAACATCTCTTACGGTCACGTGGCACCCGCCTGGTTTGTTCCAGCTTTTCTGAGACGCCAGCTGGGGGAAGCTGGGGACCCGAGGGGGCGGCAGACCCCGGTGCGTGTTCTGCCCCTGGCACAAACGCCGTGTGTCCCCTGAGCTCACCGCCTTGTAAACCACGTTTTAATGGGATGACATTGGGGTTGGTTCGTTGGGGTTTCCTGGGGGGACTAAACGAGTTAACGCCGAGGAAGCGTTTTTGAACTGTATTAACTTAAGATGACATTTTAATGAAAATAATTTTTGAACGTGAAACAAAACTAATTGGTGATGTAAGCCCTAATTTACGTGTGAGATGTAAACAGAAGCCTTGAGTAATCTCTGCTTTCTTTCCTTTCATCGTAGTGCTCCTTGGCTTAAGGGGCAAGAACGGGCAGATCTGTCGAACAGCCTGGAGGAGATCTACATGTAAGTGACGGCGAGTGAACCGCTTCCCTGCGTGACCGTGTGGCTCTTGTTGGAACTGAGATGTGGGGCCTTTTCGTGAGCGAGGAGGGTGGCTTGCAGAGTCCTGGCAGGTGCTTCCATGACTTTAATGCACATTCAGTGTCAGGCTGTGTTGAATGAGACACATACACTGGAATCCTAATCATCATTATTTATTAAACTAGTCATTTTAATAGGAATTTTCTTGTATTATGCCGTAAGACTTAAGGTCTATTAATTATACTGTATTTTTTTTTTGTTCTTGTTAATTCTCACCCAAGGATATTTTTCCATTGATTTTTAGAGAGAATGGAAGGGAGAGGGAGAGGAGAGAGAAACAGTGATGTGAGAGAGACACATCAATTGGTTGCCTCCTGCACGCACCCCAACCTGGGCCAGGAAACCTGCAACCGAGGTACGTGCCCTTTACTGGAATCGAACCTGGGACCCTTCAGTCCGTGGGCCAACACTATCCACTGAGCCAGCTGGCTAGGGCTACTGTATTTTTTACTGTTCCATTCATTCAGCAAATAGCATGTGGCAGGCGTTGTGCTAGATCCTGGATACACAGTTAGCAGAACCATCCAGGGCCGGTCTCAGGGTGTCTAGAGTTTACTGGTGGGAGAAACATTACTATGACATCGTAAAGTTAATGAGAAACTGCAGCTGTGACGCAGAGGACATGGGTGTGCAGCGCCGATGAGGCCTGTGAGGAGGCAGATCTGCTGTGGGAGGGGAGGGCGCGGGACAGACTAACAGCTGCATCACGTGGGTGGAGGTTCTCCAGGGGAGGCCACGGGTGTGCAGCGGCTCCGTGTCACCGGCTTGCACATCTCCAGGCACAAGGTGATGGTGGCATGAAGGGGAGAGAGGCGGGGAGAGGGGCCTGTGGGGTCACCTGGGGGAGGCGGGCCCTGCAGGCTCCGTGGGCTGAGTTACGGCTTGTTGCCCTCATCCTGGTCCCGGGGTGGGGGATGGTCGGTGTGGGATGCAGATCAGGGTTTCCTGTTTCTGTGTGAGGCTGATTGGCAGGGAGCAGGCAGAGATGTGGGCCAGAGAAGATGCGACTGTGGTTTGGGTTCATCGGAGTAGGAGGCCCTCCATTGGGAGAACAGATGACGCTCAGTGGGAAGGTCGCTGTGTGTCCCAGGGCTGCCTCCGTCAGCGGGAGCTCCCTCCCTGTGTGCGCCGGACCCGGCCAGGCCCTTCCCCTCCCAACTTCTTAATGAAAAGTGTGTGATGCGTTTCTTCCTGGTCCTCAGACTCACACTTGACTCCGGAAGGACGCAGCCTGGACGTTCCGATAGGGGCGCCTCGCTTAGGGGTTCCGCTCCTCAGCATTCAGATGCCCGCGGTCTCCTCGGGGACACGGTTCCCTCCCCCCTGGCCACGCCCGCACTGGGGCCCGACACGCTTCCTCCTGCAGCCGTTGGCTCTGCCCGTTTATCCTCCGTTAAAGTGGAGGAAGTCAGACGATGCAGATTGCCCACCAGGGGTGACGTCATTGCGTTTCACTTTTCAGTTTTTACTCGGCCTCTGTAAGTTGTGGGGTGAACGCTCCCTCTTTCTGGAACATTTCCCACCCGTGGCTCCTGTCATGTCAGTCATACTCATCAGCTACACTCCTCTCCTCCCCGTGCACAGTGTCCTGCCTCTGCCTTCTCCACCCAGAAAGCACCCCTTTCCTCAGAGACACCCCACAGGGCACAGCTGCTGTCCCCCCTTGCAGTGGACTGAGGCTTGGGCAGCATCAGGAGGACAAAGCCATTTGTCCTCAGGACAGAACGTGGTCAGACTGTCCTCTTCATGCAAAGCGCTCGGGTAACCCAAGTACCCTGGCAGTGTTTTCACACAAAATAGAAGGACTCGGTTTTTAAAAGTTCTGTGGGACAGCGTTTAACCATCGTTTTCCATAAAAGCCCCAGCAGGGGCAGCAAGCGGAAAGCACTGGTGTTTGGGAAATGAAGCATGAGATCAATGTATGAATTTAGTATTGAATGTTCATGTTTTCATGAAGCTCTAAAGATGGTAACTGTCTGCATTTCCTATTGATTTAGCACCATTTTGAATGCCAAGGGTGATTTTTGCCGGATGGGAAGATGGATTCTAGTTTAGGGAGGTAAGAAGTCAGACACTAGCAGGTCCTCGTAGTGTTGATTGATTAGCTCTGGCCTGCGGGCGCTCTATTAGGAGTTTGGAAATTGAAAAGAAGAGCCGCAGCCCACTGTGTGACATAATCGCGGAGAGGTCTGGGTCCAGCACGGTGACAGCGTGTTAGAGGTGGTAGCAGCTCTCGCTCGCTCTGGGCACGCGGGTGAGACTGATGAGGAGGGTCCATGGCGACGGTGAGCTCAGTGTTTGCCAGGTAACCAGCGGGGCAGGCTCCTTGAGAGACGAGACGGCATCGGCTGCATCATGCAGGCGTGGAGCCACCGGTGCCTGCATTTCAGCAGCCCTTTCAGATGCAGGTGTAAATGAGGCAGGTGTGCGGGAAGCGCCTGTGAGCTGGGGGGGAGTGTGGAGTGAGCTGCAGGGGGAGTGTGGTGTGAGCTGGGGGGGAGTGTAGAGTGAGCTGGGGCGGGGAGTGTGGTGTGAGCTGCGGGGGGAGTGTGGTGTGAGCTGGGGGGAGTGTGGAGTGAGTTGGGGCGGGGAGTGTGGTGTGAGCTGCGGGGGGAGTGTGGTGTGAGCTGGGGGGAGTGTGGAGTGAGTTGGGGCGGGGAGTGTGGTGTGAGCTGCGGGGGGAGTGTGGTGTGAGCTGGGGGGAGTGTGGAGTGAGTTGGGGCGGGGAGTGTGGTGTGAGCTGCGGGGGGAGTGTGGTGTGAGCTGGGGGGAGTGTGGAGTGAGTTGGGGCGGGGAGTGTGGTGTGAGCTGCGGGGGGAGTGTGGTGTGAGCTGGGGGGAGTGTGGAGTGAGTTGGGGCGGGGAGTGTGGTGTGAGTTTGGGGGGAGTGTGTTGTGAGCTTGGGGGGAGTGTGGTGTGAGTTGGGGGGGAGTGTGTGAGTTGGGAGTGTGGTGTGAGTTGGGAGTGTGGTGTGAGTTGGGGGGGGTGTGGTGTGAGTTGAGGGGGAGTGTGGTGTGAGATGGGTGTCCCGGTGCGCAGGGTGGCGGTGGAGAGCAGTCGGTGACCCTGAGGGAGGTGGTGGGGGACTTTAAGGGACAAGGATGCCCGTGGAGAAGAATGTCCCTTAAAGAAATACTGACGGCTATAAGCGATGCTTTGGTGATTGCGTAGATGTTGATAGATTTGCTTGTATTTTTCTTTAAATATTTTGCATGTTGGTATTTTGAATATATGAAAACAATTATTCTAATAAAACCAAAAGTAAATGACATTTAAAAATACTTACAACAGCGCTGGCTGGTGTGGCTCAGTTGGTTGGGTGGTGTCTGTGCACCAAAAAGGTTGCCGTTCGATTCCTGGTCGGGGCACCTGCCGGGCTTGGGGGCTGGGTCCCGGCAGGGGGCGTGCAGGAGGCAGCCCGTCCGTGTTTCAGTCTCACATGGTGTTTCCCTCCCTCTCCCTCTCCCTTCCTTTCTCTTTAAAAACCAATTTTAAAAAAATCCTTAGAACAGTTGGTGTTAAGAGAAAACAAAAGGGCTTGGAGTTTTCAGGCCGTATTTGAATTTATGACGGTCTGTTTCAGCAGCATTTCATTCAAAGTCCAATGAGAGGGTGTTCAAACCCCGCAGCTCCTCGCTGGGACGGGCGTTGAGTGTGGGTCTGACCAGGTCGCTCTCCGTTCGGCTGGAATGCGCTTTGTCCACTTTTCCTGTGGAGCTGCTTTCCCGCCAGTTCGCTTCACGAGGAAAAGCAGGCCTCTCGCTCTGGTTCTCACAGACCCTCGGGGCGGAGGAGCCGGTAGGACGATGACACAGTTTCTGTTTGTTCTGATTGGTTCCTGATTCTGCCAGAGGCTTCCTGGCAAAAGTCTAAAAACCAAACACTAGGGGGTAGTTAGACGCTAAGAACAAGCTATTGTCACGAGAAAGCACAGATGCGGCCGGATCACAGAGCCACTGCCCCCTCAGGTGGCCGCCCCTGGGGTGGCATGCTGGAGTCCAAGGGCCGGAGTAACCTTCACTGGCCTCGGGAAACCGTTACGCCCATGACAGCGCCCTCCGTGGGCCTGGGGGTTCTTGCACACGCACTGGGCCTTCACTCTGTGCAGTTGCCATTCGCTAATCTGCTTGTGGACATGACCCTGACATGCTTCTTCTCAGGGAGCCTGGGAGATGGACTTAGTGTTCTGAGGCAGCCAGGCTGTGTTTGGAACAAATGAACCACCTTGGGCAGTGGAGCATTTTGTCAAAAACAAAATCTATACATATAAAAGGCTAATATGCAAAGTGTCCCCTGGGGAGTTCTGCTGGGAGACTGGGAGTTCGATGTCTCGCTATGACGTGCACTGACCACCAGGGGGCAGCGTGGAATGAAGGGAGGCCCCGGGCAGCAGCTGGAAGGCCCCTATTGGCACTGATCGCCGGCCAGGCCTAGGGACCCTAGCCCTGCAGAATCTCGTGCACCGGGCCTCTAGTGTGAATATAAAACTGTTGCATCGATTTGCTGTTCAGGCCTGTGAACTGGCTCCCTGAGGGCGTTCTCGAATGCTTTCATGCTTGGTGGGAATCAGCATGACCAATGAGAAGCGCACCAAGGCGTGGTTTCAAATCGTTCAGAAAGTGTAGAAGGGCAAGCAGTGATACTGAGAAATCAAATCGCACGCACATCTATCTCACTCTCCAGTGCAAGTTCATACGTTTTCTTTCTCTTTGGGTGCCACAGTTGTGCTTGTTTTAACTAAGAAATGTTAATTTTGGAGCCAGTGGGAATTTTTAATGTTGGTATAAACTGTATTAAATATTCATTCATAAATGTTACTAAAGCTCATGTCCTTATAAATTCCTCTTTAAAAGGCATGGCTAGATGCGTGTAATTTCTTAGATTGTAAAGATGTCTGTATTTTTTTGAATTTGAGAAGGAAATATTTTTAAATAACATTTTCCCCCTGAATTTTGTTTAGACAGAATATTGGTGAAAGTATTCTTTACCTCTGGGTGGAGAAAATAAGAGACGTCCTAATACAAAAAGCTCAGATGGCAGAACCAGGTAGGACGGAGAAATACTATCAGTGCCATTTTCCTTACAGTAATTACATTTTCACATGGATGTTCTATTTGAAGTTTTTAATTACAATCTGTATTCTGTTCTATGGTTTACATATAATATAAGTTTTCTGGAAAGTTCATTTACTCATGTAATTATGGTTCTTTGGTTTAATATAATCTTATAGAAATATAATTTTATGGTTAAATAAAATTTATGGATCAAAAAAAATCTCTTCTTTGATTATTGTTGAGGTAATATGTACCATGTAACATTCTTCATGAGTTATTAGACTATAAGCTAGACATTATGTTTATAGAAATGCTTATGGGAAAAAAACTTTGACAAATATACTGACGGATAGTAAGGATATATAAATTGACTTTGAAAATTGATTTTAAAAATTCAGTTGTAATTTACTTACCATAATTATTCAGTCTTTAAAACTGTGTAGTTGGGTGGTTTTAGTATATTTCATGGTTGTGCGGCTCTGAGCGCTCTCTGATTTCAGGACATGGGAACGCTCACATTCTGCTCTATTGCCGCCATCCTCTTATTGGGCCATTCAGTCTGTGACAACGTGGGCATTCCTCACCTTTCCTACTTGCTCTGCTAATCTTTGCTTCACTTTCCACAAAGACCTTCTCGAGAGGACAGCAACGATTTAACCCGACTCTTACTTCCAAATAGAGGTTTATTGTTATCACTGAGAGAATGGTTTTCAGTTTGGAAAAATAGGGATAAAAAAACCCGCATTCGTTTATGACAGATGTTTTAGAAGGTCAGTCCGGAGAACGAGTTACTCAGGCCTCCCTTGGGAAGGTCAGTTCACATGGAAAGTCAGCAGTGTGCCTCTTTCCAGGGCATTGACTGTTTTCCTGCAGAAGCAAATGCTTCTACCGCTTCCTTTCAGCAGAGAAACGAGTAGCGTGAGGCCTTTCTGTCCACTGACGGTCTTCTCTGAAGTACTTCCTGTAATGCCTTCTGCTCCGTGAACGAATGCACAGCATGTCAGGGCATCGAAGGGAAAAGTCACCTAAAAACCAAGCGGACTGTGCCAGCCCCCATCCAGAGGTGGGGGGCGGTGCAGGAAAGGGGTGCCGCCCGTTAAATGTGGGGCTCTAGAATTTTGGGATCACTCAACTCAGGAAACTTAAGAACTTACTGATCTTAAGGTGTTTCCCCTTTTCCACCTTATTCATAATGTAGTCGCCGAGCTTCAGATGTTAAAGCCCTTGCTGTGGTCTGTACACGCGTGGTTTTCAGGCGTTTTGTTGGGGACGTTTGACCAGGAACTGTTTGCAGATCATGCTGGGGCGGGTCCTGAGGGCTGGGCCAGGCGGGCGTCAGGGGGCTTTCCTGCCCGGCTCCCCCGTGACAAGGGGTGTGTTTTGATTTCAATGTTAATCTTCAGGAGAAACTTATTATTTCATATTGTTTTTCTACTTTAGAAGCATTGAATTTTAAAATAATTGTATACAACTGTTAACAATTTTTAAAAATTTTGAGCTCATTTTAGACGCACAGGAAAATAGCAGAAATGACGCAAAGAGCATGCCCCCCTCACCCTGCTCCCCCCACAACCTCAGACGTGACCTCGTGTCGTTGTCCAGACCTGGAAGCTAACGGCCGAGGGTCCGCTAAGGAGCTGGCTCAGGTTTCACGGTTCTGACGCGAATGTCCTTCCGGCTCTTAGGGCCCCGACTGGTGCCTGTTTCCTCCTCTCTCCCGGCCTCTCAACGCTGCCTCCGTCTTCCTGTGACTTGTGTGACTTTTGATGACTTGACACTTTTGAAGAGAAGCGATTGCCTGTTTTCTAGAATGTTCCTCAGCTTGGGTTTGTTTGTTACTTTCCCAATGGGAGTGGGATGGGGCACTCAGGCAGTCGTGCCACAGGAGTGACCCGGCGTCCTTCACAGCACGTCGTATCGAGGGGCTCATGGCCTCAGCGTGCTTATTGTTGGTGATCTTGACATTGACCCCTTGCCAGAGATCAGCACTGCAGAGTCCCTGCTTTAGTCAAGGTTCTCTGGAGACAGAACCGATAGGAGGGGTGTGTGTGTGTGCACACGTGTGTGAATGTGTGTGCACATTAAAAATAAGACCAAGAGAAGAGTGCACATGTGTGTGAATGTGAGTGTGTGCGTGCGTGTGCGCGCGCGAGTGCGTGTGTGCGTGTGTGCATCTGTGTGAGTGCGTGTTTAAAAATAAGACCAAGAGAAGGAGAAAGAGGTGCAGAGAGAGGGAGAGGGGGAGAGTGGTTTATTTTAAGGACCTGGCTCACCATTCTGGAGTCTGGCAAGTCCCAAGCCCGCAGGGCAGGCTGGGCCCAGGCAGGACTTGGCGCGGTCGCTCGTACCCCCCCCGCCCCTCCCGCCAGGACCTGAGCTGGAGGAGGCGGCTCTCACTGTCAGGCGCGTCTGCTTCCTGAGCGTCTGCTCGGAGTGAGAATTCCTCCCGGAACGGCCTCCACAGGAGCAGCCAGAACAGAGCTTGACCAGGTCGGGTCCTGTGGCCGAGTGACTTGTGTGACTTTTGATGACTTGACACTTTTGAAGAGAAGCGATTGCCTGTTTTCTAGAATGTTTCTCAGCTTGGGTTTGTTCGTTATTTTCCCGATGGGAGAGGGATGGGGCACTCGGGCAGTCGTGCCACAAGAGTGACCCGGCGTTGCCTTGTTTCACGAGTCCCGTGGGAGGGACACTGTGGAGATGGGGTGTCTGTCCCCCTCCAACACCCCTCACGGTGTGAGCGCTCACGGGGTGTCTGTCAGCAGCACTGATGGCAGCTGGCAGGCGTTTTCCTGCTGCGGGTGGACCCCTTCCTCCTGTCTCGTCCCTTGGGACCTTCTGAGGAGGGCAGTCTCCTCCATGTGTTCCGCTGATTTCTGTCCCTGCAGCCGCGTGTCCCTGCGGCCGCGTGTCCCTGCGGCCGCGTGTCCCTGCAGCCGTGTGCCCCTGCAGCCGTGTGCCCCTGTGGCCCGCGTGTCCCTGCGCTCCACGTGTCCCTGCAGCTGTGTGTCCCTGCAGCCGTGTGTCCCTGCAGCCATGTGCCCCTGTGGCCCGCGTGTCCCTGCGCCCGCGTGTCCCTGCGCTCGCGTGTCCCTGTGGCCCGCGTGTCCCTACAGCCCGTGTGCCCCTGTGGCCCGCGTGTCCCTACAGCCCGTGTGCCCCTGTGGCCCGCGTGTCCCTACAGCCCGTGTGCCCCTGTGGCCCGCGTGTCCCTACAGCCCGTGTGCCCCTGTGGCCCGCGTGTCCCTACAGCCCGTGTGCCCCTGTGGCCCGCGTGTCCCTACAGCCCGTGTGCCCCTGTGGCCCGCGTGTCCCTACAGCCCGTGTGCCCCTGTGGCCCGCGTGTCCCTGCAGCCGGGGCTAAGGTCTCGCACTGCCATTGCTGTTGCTGACGGTCCCGGGGCGGGTCCCGTGTGCCTTGGAGAAGCTCGAGTCCCTGAGCAGCTTAAACCTCTGGAATCACAGACGACCCCACAGTCCCTGGTGTCCTAGGCCCGGCCCTGGGGTCAGCGACTGGCTGAGGCCCGATTCCTTCCCCGAAGGACGTGCTCAGAGCCCACGCCGCAGTGTTTAAGTGTCATTTCCGACTTCCGTGTAGAGCACACGCGTGTCTCCTGTCCCGCGGGCACCACTCGCGTGTCTCCTGTCCCGCGGGCATCACGCGCGTGCCTCCTGTCCCGCAGGCCCAGAGGTGAAGCAGAAGACGGAGGAGGAAGACGTGGAGAGCGAAGACGACGTCCTCGTGGCGTGCCAGCCCGAGGCTCCGGGGCGAGCGCTGGGCTTCGATGTCGGTGACAGTCAGACGGGTACGAGGCGCTGACGCTCTGTGTCTCTAGGACAGTGATGGTGAACCTCTGAGCTCGGCGTGTCCGCATTTAAAAAACTCTAACTTAACTCTGGTGCCGTGTCACATAGAGAAATTTTTTGATCTTTGCAACCATAGTAAAACAAAGACTTATATTTTTGATATTTATTTTATATATTTAAATGCCATTTAACAAAGAAAAATCAACGAAAAATATGAGTTCGCATGTCACCTCTGACACGTGTGTCACCGGTTCGCCATCACTGCTCTGGACGGTGGGACGGTGATACTGGGAGTGGTTTGGGGGGTGGGTAGACGTGTAGTGAACCCACACATGTTGGGAAGTAGTTGTCAATAAGCAGGGAAATGCGGTCGTGTCTTTCCCGCCTGCTGGTCGTCTGGTGTTGGCTGGGCCTGTCGGGCGGGGAGGGACTCTTATCTGGAGTTGGTATCGTGATGGGAGATGGAGACTAAGGAAAGCTGTGTTTTTAATTCACGTTTCAGTTCACACACGTTTTCCTGCTTTGAAGTTCTCAGCGGCCTCCTGTCCTCACTGGACGCGCAGCCACTGAATGAAGCCTAAGTGCCTTTAAGGTTATAGCTTCTGCGTAAGCAAATTTGCTCCATAATCTAGTATGAAAGGAGACTCAGCTGTATGGTAACATCAGAAAGCATGTTCCCTGTCAGGATTTCAGAGAGGGAGAGGGAGAGAGAGAGAAACGTCAATGATGAGAGAGAACCACGGATCGGCTGCCTCCTGCACACCCCACACTGGGGAGCGGGCCTGCAACCAGGCATGTGCCCTGACCGGGAATTGAACTGTGACCTCCTGGTTCATAGGTTGACCCTCACCCACTGAGCCACACAGGCCGGGCCCTTTTAGCATTTTACATTTTTGAGCGAATGGTCCATTTCCTCAATCCCTTATAGAAGCACGATTGGCCAAAGGGAGCCCCGTTCTCTGAAGGCCAGGCATCCTGTGCCCTCACACCACGGCCTCGAACCTGTGCTGGGAGCGTCTCAGGTTCTCCCGCTGCCTCGGGACCAGTAGGGACGGAGAGGAAGGGAGAGGGGAGGGCCCAGGACGCCCCCAGCTCCGAACTGCGTGGCTCCTGCTTCGTTTGGTCACGTCTTCATGGCATCAGGTTTCCTTTGGGAAACAGGACCCCCACAGGAAGAGGGACAGTCACAGGCACAGCGCATGGCAGCCAGTGCACAGGGACCCGGTGCTGCGCTAGGACCGGCCACCCTCCCCAGACGGGACGTTGGCAGAGCAGCCGGGGAAGCTGGTCTGTGCTCGTCCGGCCACAACCAGGGTGGTGGATTTCGGGGCTGTTACAGCCGCCCAGAAACACTTCACAGGTGTTAGCTGAAGTAGTTCACCAACTGCGGGCAAACTGACTTGGTGCGATTCAACCAAGTGGCTAGAAGTGGGGACACATTTTAATTCTTTTTTCCCGAATAACTTTCCATCCTAAATGCAGCCGGTACAGCAGCCAGGGTGGCTGGTAAGTTTCTCTCTCTCTTAATTGAATGTATTGGGGTGACATTGGTTAATAACATTGTGTGGGTTTCAGGGGTACAGTTCTGTGACTGTGAGCGCCATCTCTATGTTGTATGGTGTGTTCTCCACCCCAAGTCAAGTCTCCTCCCATCACCATTGTCCCCCTTCGCCCTCTCCTGCCCTCTACGCCCCCCACCCCCGTTCTCATCAGACGGGGGGCAGGTTAGTGGCTCTTAAACTTGTTTAAGAGGCAGAGTAGCTGGAACTGATGACACCCCGTGGAACACCAGTTTGGCATGTTATTGATATACTAGAGGCCTTCCCACAGGGTCCCTTCACCTGGCCGGCAATCATGGCCATCAGTGCTCTCACCCAGTCCTGATTGGGGCCAATTGGGGTCAGTGGCCCGGGAGGGACCACGGGAGGGACTGCAGGTCAGCTCCAGGCCGTGTCCGGCCCCATCTCGCTCAGTCCCGATCAGCCAGACCCCAGCAGCAAGCTAACCTACCGGTCAGAGTGTCTCCCCCTGGTGATCAGTGCACGTTACAGCGACCAGTCGGTCAACTACTCGGTCGGACACTTAGCATATTAGGGTTTTATAGCTATAGATTTAATTCAATGCTATGAAGTAGGAACAGTTTTATTAGCAGAAGACATTCTGTTATAGCTGTAAAACAGTGTCGTAGGTTTCCCAGCCAGTGTCATCGGTCCACCAACAATAGGACGGATGAATGCGTTACGGTGTATTAGCAGCTGTCAGTGTTTCTGGTCTCAAGACCCTTTTAAACTCTTAAAAAGTAGTCGTGTGAACTTGTGCTGCTGCCACAGTCTGGGCTTGGAGCCCCGGCCCCCACTCACTGTGACCTCTGGGTTCGATTCCCGCAGGTGAAGGTCATCAGACGGGTGGGTTTATGTGCAATATATTGGGAGCCTTTTTACTTAACGTTGTAACTGAATTTCATGGGCAGCTGTGAGTTGCTGTTGGGGTTGATTTGCCATACAACGTACATTTCTTTCCCAACTCTCCCCTCCACCCACACCATCGCCACTGTGTTAGATTTTGAATGTATGAATTTAAAAATAAAAGTAACCTCCTTCCCTAACTTACAGAAATGGAAGAGCTGCCGCCGATCGACCACGGCGTCCCCATCACCGACCGACGGAGCACCTTTCAGGCGCACCTGGCTCCCGTGGTCTGCCCCAAGCAGGTGGGCTGCTCGCGCCCTCGGGGGCCGGGACGCTGTTTCCCCAGCGCAATCCCAGCGAATGGCTTTGCAGTCACACCCTTGCTTTTACTGTTGTTGTTTTCACATAAGAGAAGCGATTCGCTCACCTTCCCGCCCCCCGTGCTGAGAATCTGGGGGAGGCGTTCGGTGTCCTCTGTCACTGCTTTTAAATCGTATCTAAACGCTGCCTGGGGCTGACCCTTTAATGGGTTTTCAAACAGACACCCGTGTGGTGCTGCAGAAGTTACTACGTTTCATAGTGAAAAAGAATTACGTGAGCCTGCCCAGGGCTCCCCTGGTTGGAGCCTCATCCTGTGCACCAGGAGGTTGTGGGTTCGATTCCGGTCCAGGCCCCTGTGGGACAGCCCTCCAGCCGGCGGAGCCTCGCGAGCCAGGCTCGAACCTCCCTCTTCGATGCCTCTGCTGGGGCTGCGGGTGAAGCACATTGGGACTCAGATCAACCTCACTACACGGGACCCACTCACACCGAGGTTGTCTGTGATTGACCTGAAGTTGCGATTGAACCGAGCGTCTTTATTTTCATTTGCCAACCTGGCCCCTCCGCACACACTGTGTCCTCCGAGCAGGCGGCTCCTTCCTGCCCCTCTTCTCTTTGGACACAGAAATGACCACGTCTCTCAAGTCTCGCTCACGTCACTCCCCGTGGCCGTGCAGGAGCCCAGAGAGCGTCCTGGTTTATAGACTGTGGGACACACCATTACGGTGCATCTATCATCCCAGATGCGTAAATTTGGTAAACTTTTAGAGCCCATTTTTTGAAATTCTTGTATTTACATGTAGAATTCTCTACACGGGGAAACATGTCCCTGTTTAAGTATGAGGCATGGTTAGTGCTCAAGTACTTTTCTGATAATTGGTGTTTAGATACCAGGTCTGTCATGTTCATTCCGTCGTGAGCACTGGTCTCTGCCCTGAATGAGGAGGAAACTTGGCAGTGGCCTTTTTGGCTGTAGACGATTCTTTTTAAAAAAAATATATATTTTATTGGTTTTTTTACAGAGAGGAAGGGAGAGGGCTGGAGAGTTAGAAACATCGATGAGAGAGAAACATCGATCAGCTGCCTCCTGCACACCCCCTACTGGGGATGTGCCCGCAACCAACGGACACGCCCTTGACCGGAATCGAACCCGGGACCCTTCAGTCCGCAGGCCAACGCTCTATCCACTGAGCCAAACCAGTCAGGGCTGTAGAATATTCTTTACGTAACTTCTATGCCACCTGCAGGGCTTACATCAGCTTTAAGATGTTTCCTAGTGTTTGTTTATAGAGAGTGAAATGTGCACATTTGTTTATTCATGTCACTGCTGTTTTTAAGGTGAAAATGGTTCTTGCCAAATTATATGAGAACAAGAAAATCGCTAGCGCCACCCACAACATCTACGCGTACCGGTGAGTGAGCACGCCTCCAGGAGCGTGTGGTTCGTAAAGACAGGAGAAACGTGCATGACTATAAACAATAACTATTACGTATTCTTCCCATTACAAAAGCAATCATTTGTAGAATATTCAGAAACTGTAGAAAAGAAAAAAAATCAGAGGGGAAATCAGCTATTTTCTACCATTAAATGCAACCAATAGTACATGATACATTTTCTGTCCTTTCTGTGCAAAGTTTATCTTTTCAATGCTTTGCCCTAGTACCACCTTTTTTTCTTAACGTACAAAAACAAATTTCCATGTTGTTTACGTTGCTTTGTGAACATTATTTTAATGCTTGACTAATAGTTGTCTGAGGTTGCAAACTACATTTTATTTAACTGTTTCCTGTTGGTTTTAGTTTTTCCTGTTTCTTTTCTTTTTTTAAAAATATATATTTTATTGGCTTTTTATACAGAGGAAGGCAGAGGGATAGAGAGTTAGAAACATCGATGAGAGAGAAACATCGATCAGCTGCCTCCTGCACACCCCGCACTGGGGATATGCCTGCAACCAAGGTACATGCCCTTGACCGAATCGAACCTGGGACCCTTCAGCTGTTGCATTATCTATCCTATATAATAAAAGAGAAACATCCAAATTACCCATCCCTCTACTATGCCCACAAGCCACGATCACCAGCCAATCAGGAGTGAGTATGCAAATTAACCCAACTAAGATGGCAGTGGCCAGGGAGCTGGAGTGAGCAGGAGGCTTGGGTTGCCCCTGGCGATGGAGGAAGCCAAGCTTCCCACCTGCCCTAGCTGGCCCTGGGCTCTGCTCAAGACTACAAAGTTTCAATTATAGAAGATAAATAAATCCCAGAAAAAAGAAAAAAAAGGAGAGGCTGGGAGCTTGGGTCGCTGGGGGGCGTGGCCATCCCCAAACAGGCCATCAGCCCCTCACCCAGGCTGGCCAGGCACCCCAGCAGGACTCCCCCAGCCTGAAGGGGCTGTGGGCAGCCTGAAAATGGCCCTCAGCCCCTCACCCAGGCTTGCCAGGCACCCCAGCGGGACCCCCACCCTGATCCGGAACACCCTTCAGGGCAACCAGCCAGCCCTCACCCGTGTACCAGGCCTCTATCCTATATAATAAAAGGGTAATATGCAAACTGACCGTAACAGCAGAACGACTGGGAATGACTGGTCATTATGACACACACTGACCACCAGGGGGCAGACGCTCAATGCAGGAGCTCTCCCATAGTGGTCAGTGTGCTCCCACAGCCAACCTCCTGCCATCGGCTAACTTCCCACGGTCCCTCCTCCAACTGGCCAGCCCTGATCAGCCCCGGTCGCCAGCCAGGCCAAGGGACCCACCGGTGCATGAATCCGTGCACTGGGCCTCTGGTGACAGAGAAGAGCCGTGAACGTACCAGATGGTGGATGATAGTGAACACGCACCTAGTGTAGTTCAAGAAGGGTTTTCAGAAACAGATATGCTGGTTTTGGAAGTCAATTGCAACTCATACGAAGTGTTTTGAGGTTTCGAGGTGTGAGCGCTGTTGTGTGTGTTTCTAGAATATTCTGTGAGGACAAGCAGACCTTCCTGCAGGACTACGATGACGATGGGGAGACGGCGGCCGGCGGGCGCCTGCTGCACCTCATGGAGGTTGGTCCGTAGTTCCTAACCCCGTCTGGGGCTTGAGTTCCCCCCGCAGCACGGGGCTCCCTCCCATGAGGGACCAGCCCTCGGGCGCTCTGCCGCGGGCGTGCGGGCTCAGTAGGAGTTCGTGTCTGACGGTGACGAGAAGATGCCGCCCCTGGGGGCGGGCAGGAGGCACAGGGTCAGTACAGGCCTCGCGGCCACAGGAGATCGTCTGCAGCTGGGGGATCTTGTTTTGTTTTCTGACACTTTCCTCCCTTTATTTCCATGTTCTGTCTGTGAAATTCCTGGAAGTGGTTATCGGGGCTTCTGAATGGACCCAGGATCTTTCTCTCCCTATGAAGTCGTCCATCTCGTTGCCTGGTGTTCCGAGACATGTTCTTGACGGTCTCCTAACATTTGTTTTAGCAACCACGCACTTAACCACGCACTTAACCACGCACTTAATTACGTAATTATAACAGTGCCCTCTGCCTTTCCTGTTTCCTGGTTTTCCTTTTCGTGGTGTGCTGTCTGGTTCCGTGGACGCAGTACCTCCTACCGTTTCCTGCGTTTGCGGATTCATGTTTGGTTTTCGGAGACGTCCTCTCAGGTGGTCGCCGGGCCGTTCGGCTGCTTATCTTGCGCTTTCCCATCTGTGCGGCTGGACCCCCTCCTCCGCCTGTGATCGCCGACGCCCTGTTCTGAGGGGCTGTTCTCTCCCCAGGTGGTTGCGGCAGTGTCTTCCGCTCTCGTGTGCAGTTTGCTCACGCCCTGGAGGGGACTCGCGTGGTCAGGCCTGTGGGCCAGTGGGCCTCACCCTCCGCAGCCCGTGCCCTCTGGCCGCTGTTTAGAAGCAGGTCCATGTGGCCCAGGGTGAAGGCCCCAGACAGCTGTTCTGGTTGAAGTCGCTGAGAACTGGGACACCCCTGCCGGTCTCCCCTGCACGCCCGGGGCCAGCGTTTGCAAGTTGAAGGCCGTGGAGCAGGGGTTCCTTTTCCAAACCCCTCCTGTCCCCTGGGCCGTCCGTCTCACTTGCCCCCTCAGTGCGTCCGCCATGGGCGTCGGGGGCGCTTCTGTGCAGGGTCAGGGCCGCGGGGCTCACGCCGCACCCCCTTGTCCGGTCTGCCGAGACGCAGGTCCTGAACGTGCGGAACGTGCTGGTGGTGGTGTCACGCTGGTACGGCGGCGTCCTGCTGGGGCCCGACCGCTTCAAGCACATCAACAACTGCGCCCGGAGCATCCTGGTGGAGAGGAGCTACGCCGGCTCGCCGGTGAGCGCCCCCTCTCCCTCCCCTCCCTCCGTCAGGGCTGCCAGCGCCAGAGGAGGTACTCCGGGCGGTCAGCATCCGGGCGGTCAGCATCCGGGCGGTGTCAGGACACCTTGGCCCAGAGCCGCAGACAGGCCCAGGCAGACCCGGTGGCGGCCGGTGCAGACCCTGGCGGTGACTTCCCTCCTGGACCCGCAGGTCAGACGAGCCTGGAGTTTACGGGCCTCAGGCCAGTGGCTTCCATCCCCGAGGCCGGGCTGAGCCGTGCTCACCTGGGTCCTCAGACGGCCACGGAACCCACATTCCTGTCCCGGCCGCAGCTGCTCTCCCGGGCAGGCCTTTCAGGCCTCCTCCCTTTACGTTTGGAGGCTTTTTGTTTCATATTTTGTAACTACGTTCATTTCTATAGTTTTTAATCTCAGCTGCTTTACTTTAAAAAGCGGACACTGGAGCCTGGCCGCTGGCTCCGTGGTTGAGTGGTTGAGCGTCGACCCAGCACCAGGAGGTCCCGGTTCGATTCCTGGTCGGGGCACAGGCCCGGGTTCCAGCTCCACCCCCAGCAGGGGGCGTGCAGGAGGCGGCCGATCGATGTTTCTATCCCCGTCTCGTCCTCTCTCTCTAAAATCAATAAAAACATTTTTTTAAAAAAGTGGACATTAGAATAATATTAACATTATTTAAACATAAATCTGTTAGGTAAATGAGTGTTTTCCTTGATTATTGTCGATTATTTCGTAAATGTACACATAGAGGGTAAACAGAAGTGCCGTATAAAACAGAAGACGGTACATATGGAAGTAGCTGTACTTCCACTGTTGTACAGACTCTAGGGATTAGGTTTAAGGCTCCTAAGCCAGTAGCTTCGTGTACATGGGGGGAGACTACATTGATTTTATCTCTTTTCCAGGAGGAATCATCAAAGGCTTTGGGAAAGAACAAAAAAGTGAGAAAGGACAAGAAGAGGAGTGAACATTAACAGCCGATACGACTTAGCGGTCATCTTACCTGTAATCAGACGCAGGCTCCTACCCCATCGGATGTCGGTGCAGGGAGGGGCCCCGCGGCCCCGCAGCCACTCATCACGACACCAGCGTCATCGCCTCCCCTCGGCCACGTCCTCCGCCAGCACCAGACCCTGTGAGCACCCTGCGCCCAGCACTTCGCCCGCGAGGGAGGCAGCAGCTGCTGGGGCGGCGCCTGGACGGTCGCCTCGGCCGCGTCAAGTGCCTTTGTCGGTGGGAGCGCCGTCTCGGGAGGAGGGGCCGCGCCTGCTTCTTGTGGGGACGCGTTTTGCTGAGGGACACGCCTCGCGCTGCTCTTCGGCTCGTGGAGAGGACTCGCTGAGGACGGACCTGGGAGCTCCCTCCTGTGGTTTCAGTCCTCAGCGTGTCGCCCCTGAGGGTGGGCGAGGCGGGCGCAGGCCTGTCCCCGGCCACCAGGTGCAGGCGCGACTGTCTCACCTGTGCTGGCAGGAGCGTGTGCCTCCGTCCCTGTTGGTGACTGAATTTCAGAAAGCGGTTTTCTCGCCTCTGCCTTTTGGTTTCGTCCTTGTGATGGGAAGCGGTGAACATGGTGCCAGGAGCTCCCCCCGCCCCGAGATGTGTCCGTTCTGCTTCTTCGGCCGGAGTCCCTTTCCTGTGACACCCACTGGGGAACGGGGGCTGTGCTGGGCGCGAGGCTGTGGCTGAGGAGGAGAGAGGACGGGAGAGGGAGAGGGAGAAACATCAGTGATGAGACAGAACCATGGATCGGCCGCCTCCTGCATGCCCCCCACTGGGGATCGAGCGTGCAACCCGGGCACATGCCCTTGACTGGAATCAAACCTGGGACCCTTCAGTCTGCAGGCTGACGCTCTATCCACTGAGCCACACCGGCCAGGGCCCTTACTTGGTGTTTTTAATAAGAATAGCTTTCTGCTAGGATGGATTCTGAGAAATAAGATCTGAATTATATTTGTTGTTCGTGTTTAATGTTGCCAGTTATCAATTGTCATCAGAGGGCGACAAACATGTATTTAGGTAGAACACATCAAGTTCCATGAAAAATTCAGTATGTCCTATATTAGCTTAAAAAAATTGAAGTTAAAAACCACCAATTAGCATGAATGTGACTTCACAGTTTTGGCACGCAGGCCTGTGGTGGGGCCACAAAACGGCAGCGACTTTGGTGCTGCAGAGGAGTCAGTGCGAGTCCACTGCTCTGTGCCGCCAGATTGAATTTCTTTCCTG